GTTTCTTTGGCAACCACATTACAAGGCTTACCCATTTGTTTGAATTAACCATCTATTTGAACCATTGTAACCTCTCGTGAGCACTTGAATTGCTTATGAACTTTGTAAAAGTTAAAGTGTGGGGTGGTTGGTTTGGCTTTTAAGTGAAACTAATGAAATAAGGAGAAAGGTGCACTGTTTTAAACAAGTAAGAGCCACTTGAATTGAAAAATAAATAGTTGTATTGCTGTAAAAAAAAATATATTCCTTGATAAGTGGTGACTGTTGATGTAATTATGCTTAAAGAAGTATGGCGTAATATACGTTGATATGAAGGGGGAGTTTGGTTTGACATAAGTATGGGATTTGAATGTTAAAGTATATGTATTAAAGTGCTTAGGGAGGTGTAGTCACTCTTATATCTAAATGTATCCTACCCGTCCCGCAGCCTACATTACAACCAAATAAAGTCCTACTTGATCCTAGACTGAATAAGCTCGATTAGTAGAGTAGTACACTACGGGCAAGCCTATGGTGCATCTTTTGTGGCATATGAATGTTATTTTTGAGAGTGAGTGAATTCTTTCTATCTTGAGTTCCTAAATGTTCTTAAATTTTATTGTGTGGAACTACTCTCTTTTGTTGTGTGAGGGCACTTGATTCATGAAGGAGAGATAATGTCAGTGACCTCTATGTTAGAGTAAGTGGGTGAGTTGTGAATAATGCGTGGTACTTGTGAGTCAAATTTTGAGGTGAAGATGTTACGCTTTTGTACTTAGTCTATTTTAAATATTCTTGGTATGATGAGTTAGGAGAATTATTTAAAAAAAAGATCGTGTCTACATAAAGTGTAGTTTGATTGTTCGAGGACGAGTAATGATTTAAGTGTGGGGTATGACTCTATTTACATATCATTATCCAAACATAATGTGGAAAAATGCTTGGAGTGTGGACCAATGCGCTCAAACACATGAACTTTAGGACTTTCAACATCCTCAACATCATTCACACTAGAGTCAACTAAATTTGTATCTTCAATGTCCCTGGTTGACTCTAGTATTACTTCTTCAACATCGGCATCCTCAAATTCTAGCTGGATAGATTGTTGGTGTTCTACTCTGACCTCCTCCTCTAGCTCATCCTCGTATTATTTTAAATCCTCCAGTATAATGGCAATTTCTGCAGCCAATTCATACTCATATTGGCTACTATCCACAATGTCAACTTGTTGCGCTTTACAAGGTTCAATTAATTTATTCGCTTGAGCCTCCAAGTTGTGAATAGTTTCCCCTTGCCTTTGTACCCGCAGTTGTATCTCATCATATTGTTCCATAAGGCACTTTAGCATATCCTCGATCTCTTTCAGGTCCTCATACCTGGGTTCTTTGTTCCTATTAACTTCACATGAAAAAGAAGAACCATCAAAGTAAGGGGTTGGGGGAAGATAAGAAATATAAGCACAACCATGAAAGTGACCATCTTGACCACCACATATATCGCACACATTCCACACATAAGATTGAGTTGGTGCATATAACTCGCTCTCGGGAATATTTTGATAATTTTGCCCAGGGTGGTTTCCTCCACTAAACGCATAAGAAGGATCAAAAGTAGAATTACCAACATCAAAACTCTCATAATTCCAAGATGCCATGTTTCTCAAATTAATAAGTAAAACAAAAAAAAATCAAATACAAAAAATAAAAATAAAAGTTCAAACTTGAAACCTAGCAATATGATCACCTACAACTACACCGTTAGTTCCCCGGCAACGGCGCCAAAATTTGATCACGCCCAACTATGCCTTATAAAAAGGACAAAGCGGTCGTTGCAAATATAATCCGGTTTATAAGTCCGGAGTCGAATCCCACAAAGAACTAAGGCTTAGCTACAGTTGTTCACTATCACCAAGAATACAAGCTTGAACAATTCCTAACTTATAGATATTAAGATTCTCGTGCTTAACTAACTAATTAAAATAATAAATTAACACTAAAGATACTACAGGTTGGAGAAAAGATTAAGGAGGTCTAGAGTTATGATTTCCCCAATTGTCGGAATCCTTCCCGCTATGTCTTCTATAATTTCGCCTAAGTATTCTCTACCGATCATGAGCGCTCTGTGTGTTGTAATTCTCTCCCAAGTAATTAGGACAATTTACTAGACATACTCTCCCGAGTTACACTAGTGGCTTTAATTACAGCTCACTTAGATCGCACCCAATGTTTCGTTATCCCTAATCCCACCTTTAAACTCTTGGTTATTGATTCCTCACATACGTCGGGAGTGATGTTGTTCAACAACTACCTAAATATGCACTCTCTCCCGAGTAATACATACTAAATAGGCACAGCTAATTGAGGGCCTTTTAATCAACCACAAGAATAATATAGTTGAACAAATAGAGAAAATACTACTGCTCAATTATAAAAACATAACAAGAATTTATCCTACAAAAGGTTCCATCAGAACCCTAGATAACAAATTAGCTATTCACAATAGTATGTAAAACTACAATACTAAAAGTCATAACCAACAATGAAAAATAGGAAGAGGAAGGAAAAACTCGTAGAAGAATTCCCCCCCTTGCTCCTATTGTGTCTCTGCCTCCTTAGGTCGAATCTATGTCAAAAATATGTCCAACCCCTCAAAATACCATTTTTTCATGTATATATACCAAGTAGGGTTGGGCCCAAACAATTATACCTTCTCCAATGTGAAAAAGGACAAGTTTCCAGGCCTGGACTAGCGCGGGCGCACTAGTGACCGCGCTAGTGGCTGCGCATATTAACAAGTGCACTGCCTCAGTCCGCGACCAGGTCCGCGATCGAGGTTTCGACCGCGTTTTTCACCATGTCCCGTTTGAAATTTGGAAAAATATAAAACATGAAAGTTGTATCCCTTTGAGTTAGCTTTCCAACCATATATTGTGAAACCCAAATGGAGTTCTGAGCAAAAAGTTATGTGCATTTTACTAGACAATATGCAATATGCCTACTCGATTCTTCGTTTGTTCTAACTATCATCCGTTGACCCCGAACACGATCCCGCCTTAATTCCTTGAGCTTTTACTCAGACTTCAAAACTCCAAATCACTTGAATTTATTCCATAACATCTACATAGCTCGGAATCACACCTACAAGGCATAAAACACACAATTAGTGCAAGACACTAGCGATTAAAGCTCAAACTCAATTGAAGTGCAGTAAATTTGAGTGTAATAAGCGACTAAAATACATAATTATAGCCTATCATCAATATTCACATATGGGTTCTATGCTCGATATTTGGAGCCCAGTAGCACCAATTTATCCTGAATTTTTCTATGTGTTAGTTTTATAATTTTATATGTTTGTTTGTAAATTAAATAATAAATTTTTATAAATAAATATTCACATATGGGTCCCAGGCTCGATATTTGGAGCCCAGTAGCACCAAGTTATCATGAATTCTTCTATGTGTTAGTTTTATTATTTTACATGTTAGTTTGTAAATTAAATAATTAATTTTTATAAATAAATATTCACATATGGGTTCTAGACTCGATATTTAGAGCCCAGTAGCACCAATTTATCCTGAATTCTTCTATGTGTTAGTTTTATAATTTTATATGTTAGTTTGTAAATTAAATAATTAATTTTTATAATTAAATATTCATATATGAGTTCCAGGCTCGATATTTGGAGCCCAGTAGCACCAATTTATCCTGAATTCTTCTATGTGTTAGTTTTATTATTTTACATGTTAGTTTTATAATTTTATATGTTTGTTTGTAAAATAAACAATTAAGTTTTATAATTATACAATATTTAATTATTAAATATTCATATATGAGTTCCAGGCTCGAAATTTGCGGCCCATAGCACCAATTATATGTTGACTATAATTGGACAGAGTTTGTGTTTGATCTATGAGTTATTTTGATGTATTTTTGAGTATAAGAGATGCTTAAACTACAGGGAAACTACGCTAAAAGGCACTAAATTTTACTACGCTAAAAGGCACTACATTATACTACGCTAAAAGGCACTACATTTTACTATGCTAAAAGTCATTACATTTTACTACCTTAAAAGGGCACTATATTACTAGTCTTTAAGCAAATAAATAGTATAAACCAGATAAAACACAATAAATACATTGTAATCACAAAACATTCACAATAATACATATAAAACAGTAATAGTAATTTATTAACAGTTTTATTAACAAATAATAATGATTTCACAATTTTTACATATTTTTTTTTAGAACATTAATATCTTAGTTCGGATAATAATAACATACCAATTTAATCACAAAAAAAACAAACACAAAACAACATGGAACACATTCAAAACAACTAATATGCATTATTTATGCGAGTTTGGACATAAACTAATCGGAATACCTCGATTTATGTTTTTCGAAAAGTTGAAGATTTGAAAATTTGACTTCCGAAATAAGCAACCCACAACATTAGAAGGCTTGGCTAGAATGTGGGACCAACTTTGATTAGTTTCTCTGGGATGGATGGGGTCTACTCGAGTTTTTTATCGAGTTAAGGGGGGGGGGGGGACCGCCGTTCATTTTTTAACAATGGGGGAAATGGCTTCTGTCCAGAACGTGGGGGAAAAGGGAAGAGAACGATACTTATATAGGTAAAACACGGTTTGTTACTGCGTTTTATGTAAAATGCGTTAATGAACCACGCTTTATATAGTCGTCTTATCAGCTTCTAGGTAAAGCGCGGTTCATTAACGCGTTTTATATAAAATGCAGTAACAAACTGCGTTTTACCTTAACGTCCCAAATGGCCGTTAAGGTAAAACGTGATTCATAACCGTAATTTACATATTTTGGTAATTATATTTTTTCCCACCTAAAAAGATATTTTGAGTCCAAAAAGATAACATTTCGAGTTCGGACTCCAAAATAGTCCGTAGTCAAATGATTATTACCTCTTTTATTCTGTTCCAGATTGGCCGTACCTGTACAAGCCATTAAAAAATGGGGAGTTAGAACAATCTATTTCATTTTCAACATGTGCAACAGAACTGACAACCAAACTATAAGACCAAACCAAACCTCCTCTAACCCCCCCTCTCTCTTACTCTCTCCTTCCTCACTGCTTCTTGAACCAAATCTCTCACATACTTATCAATCATTCAATAATGTTCAATTCATACTAGCATTTCATTTTCTTTTCCTGTAAGCTGTCTTTGTTGAAAGAGAAAAAAAAGAAGAGAAATGCCTCTCAAACAACTACTCTGTCTATTGACACTTCAACTATAGATTCCTCCTACATTTTATTAACAAAAAATTGCCCCCTTTCTTACATATCCTTTAAAGTTTTGATCTTTTGGGTTACTCTATATAGATTTGTTTTACTCACAGATTTAGAGAGGCAGTAGAATATGAGATTAGGTTTTATTTGGCTTCTTTATTTTGCTTTCCTTTTAGGAATTGAAGCCCTCAAATTTCATAGGACTGAACATACTGAGAGAATCTCAGGTAACTATTTCTCAATGAAATTACATTCTCGTTTTTAAAGTCTGTTTCATTATTTTTTGTGTTTTTGTTGGGAATTACATATACTAATATTTTATCCTCACGCTAACTGTAAGATGACAAGCTAGGGTTTTGTTCTCAGCTGACATTAGACTATTTAGATCCAGAAAATCTTTTGCTTGGATCAACTGATACACTGCTAGGGGAAAGGAATAGATTTCGTTATTGAATGTCTCGCAACTAGAGCTCGAACTTATAGCTTTAAACAAACAGTTGGGTCCAAATTCAGTGAAGCTTCGTTAAAATTGAATAAAGACGAGTACCAATAGTGTGGTATTCCTGTTGAAAGTCAATCTCTGAGTTAATAGGATGATTAAAATTAAGTTGTAATATTTTTAGTTAATGTGTTTTTTTAGAGTTCTGAAGAGGCACAAAAAACAATGTGTTCAAACTTAATCTGTTAATCTGGAGTTTAAAAGATTTCGATGTTTTATTCAAACTTTAAAGTATAAATCTTGCGTCTCAAATGACCTTCACTTAAGTAACTCATCATGTTTCAGTGTTTGTATTGGACTTGAATCATAGTTTAGAATTTGAGTCAACATCAAGCTTGTAGATTAACTCAATTCAATCTGAAACATCTAGCTATTCAGCTTGATAAACTCATTTACAGCCCTTGGTATCAATTCAGCTTGTATTGGTCCTGGATGGTTGATTAGAAATAGGTGATCTTCGTAAAGAAAAAGGAAAATGAAATAGTGATTGTTCCCTCCTTTCAATCCTTAGCTTTAAATATATAGTTGGGTCCAAATTCAATGAGGCTTAAATTGAATAAAACGAGCTCAGTGACCGAGCTTGCCTTAGAACTAAGCCGAGTACAAATAGTGAGGTATTCTGCTTGAATGTTCTTTAGTCAATCTCTAAGTTAAGGTTAAAATTATGTTGTACTCCCTCTGTTCCAGTTTATGTGAACCTATTTCCTTTTTGGTCCGTTCCAAAAAGAATGACTCCTTTCTAAATTTGGTAACAATTTAACTTAAACTTACAATTCTACCCTTAATGAGAAGCTTTTATAACCACACAAATACTCTGGCCCCCTTTTTGACATGTTAGAACCACACATTCCAAAAGTCTTCATTTTTTCTTAAACTCCGTGCCCAGTCAAACAAGTTCACATAAATTGGAACGGAGGGAGTATATTTTTAGTTGGCGTGTTTATTATTATTTTTCATTTTCTTTTACACTTACTTTCTGTTGGCAGTAAGTATTTATGACTAACCGTTGTTTTCTTTCATTGTTGATCACCTTACTATCTTGTTGTTTTATTCTGCTTTTATATGGTTTTTTGGTACTGTCCCTTGTTGTCTATATTTTCATTAATGTGGTGCTTATGCTTTCCTGAGCCGAGGGTCTATTGGAAACAACCTCTCTATCCTCACAAGGTAGGGGTAAGGTCTGCTTACACACTACCCTCCCCAGACCCCACGGTGTGGGATAATATTGGGTATGTTGTTGTTTCTTTTACACTTATATATTAAATCTTAGAGTTCTGAAGAGGCTAAAAAAACAATGTATAAGATCTATTGTTAATATGGAGTTCAAAAGAATGTCGATTTTTTAGTCACACTAAGTATATGGGTCTCAATCACTCTCAAATGACCTTTACTTAAGGAACTCGTCATGTTTCAGTGTTCTTATTGGACTTGAATCAAAGTTTTTAGAGTTTGAGTCAACTTCAAGCTTGTAGATAATTGACTCGATTCGATCTTTGACATCTAGATATGCTACTTGATAAACTCATTTGCACCCCTTGGTATCAATTCAACTTTTACTGTTTCTGGATGATGGATTAGAAATAGGTGATGTTTCCCCTCCTTTCTACCGTTTTCAAATTTTCAAGTATTTATTTACCTTTGTATGGTAGCATGTACTACAACTAAAGAGAGTGAGGAAGAGTTCTGAGTAGACAATTTTGTTCGTGAGGTGTAAGTTATTTGATTGGTATTGGGGATAGTTTCTGTCATAAGGTTTTAAATCTTAAATCTAAAGCCTAGACCTTGATTTAAGAAATGATGGATTTTGCCTCTAAAGAGAGCGGCTCTTTGAGCTATGTATGGGATATGATATCTAAGTTTCTGACAGCTATTGGTTCCCTCAGAAAATTTTCATCTTCACTCTGAAAGGAAAAAGAGAAGGTTAGAAACTTTGTGTTGGTATTGCTATTTATAGTTTTTTTGGGTCAATTTGTACTATTAATAGAGTTAGTTCATTATATTATTGAGTTGTATTTAGATATAATGAAATCACAAATTTTGCTTAGCAGGATCTGACTTCAGTAAAACTTAATTTGATGCTTTTAGACTGCCAAAATTTCTGATGTTTTTTCCAAGAATCCCATTAGGATTTGGTTCATGTATATGTATTAACTCTGGAGTTCAGAGATTTGGGGCATGGATGAATGATAGTTGCAGCAGTGTAGATAATATGTTGGTGAATAGTTTCAATGTTACAAGTGCTACCGAAGTGTCATCCTTGTGACTTTAAAGCAACACTTTTCTACCAACCTGAAAATTCACCTGTGATATAAAATATATTAAAAATATATTAAAGGGCAGTCCGGTGCACTAAGCTTCCACTATGCGCGGGGTCCGAGGAAGGACCGGACCACAAGGGTGGTCTATTGTTCGCAGCCTTACGGCCCTTACCCTGCATTTTCACAAGAGACTGTTTCCATAGCTCGAACCTGTGACCTCCTGCGACCTCGTGGTCACGTGGCAGCCACTTTATCAATTACACCAAGGTTCCCCTTCATATAAAATATATTGCAAAAATCAAATATAATTAGATACTTCTAAGCCTTCTAAGATGCTAAAAAGTTTAGATTAAAGGCTTATAGAGTATGATTTCCCTATCCGTCACTTTGCATGTCTGACTACATCATTTTGTTTTTTAGTTTGTTAAATTAGGTTAGGCTATAAGGTTATAAATACTTGCTTTGAACTCTATGAAATTATCAACTTTCCTTTCATTTCTGCATTTCAGGTAGTGCTGGTGATGTCTTGGAAGATGATCCAGTTGGGAGGTTAAAAGTTTTTGTATATGAGCTTCCCAGCAAATACAACAAGAAAATTCTTCAGAAAGACCCACGATGTCTTAGCCACATGTTTGCTGCGGAGATCTATATGCATCGTTTCCTCTTATCTAGCCCTGTCCGGACCCTTAATCCTGAGGAAGCTGATTGGTTCTACACCCCTGTTTATACCACTTGTGACCTGACACCAAATGGCCTTCCTTTACCCTTCAAGTCGCCACGAATGATGAGGAGTGCAATACAACTTATTGCTTCTAATTGGCCTTATTGGAATAGGACTGAGGGTGCTGATCACTTCTTCATTGTCCCACACGATTTTGCTGCTTGTTTTCATTATCAAGTGAGAATTAAGTCCCCTCTCTCTCTCTCTGGCACTCTCTCTCACACGCACACACAGCACACAAATTGATGGATATACACATTTTTATATTTAACTAACTGGATTTCACTAAAAAGGCCTCTCTGCCTTCTTAAAAAGGCTGGGGTAAGGTCTACGTACACTCTATCCTCCCCAGACCCCACTTGTGGGATTACACTGGGTATGTTGTTTGATTTCACTAAAAAGGCCGTGAAAATCCCAAGGGATTACTCACAGTGCCTTTTTATAAATTTCCATCGTTACTTTTAACTGAGAGTGTGTGGTTACATCTGATTATTTCGTGCAAATTGTAGGAGGAAAAAGCTATCGGGAGGGGAATTCTTCCATTGCTCCAGCGTGCAACTCTAGTTCAAACTTTTGGACAAAGAAATCATGTGTGTTTGAAGGATGGTTCAATTACAATTCCTCCCTATGCTCCTCCGCAGAAAATGCAATCCCACTTTATCCCTCCAGATATTCCACGATCCATCTTTGTTTACTTTCGTGGCTTGTTCTATGACGTAGGAAATGATCCAGAAGGTGGTTACTATGCAAGGTATCCCCATGTCTCAATCTTTATGGTTCAATCACATTTGATTCTGAACGCTGATACTTAAATAGATTGAAGACAACTAGCTTTTGATTTTCTTTATTGACCTCCCAAATATGGAAATATGTTTTATGACAAGGTACCTGACTCTTATTTCTCTTCTCAGAGGTGCACGGGCAGCAGTGTGGGAGAACTTTAAGGACAATCCTCTCTTTGATATTTCTACGGAACATCCAACTACCTACTATGAAGACATGCAGCGAGCCATCTTTTGCTTGTGTCCTCTTGGGTGGGCCCCGTGGAGTCCAAGATTGGTTGAAGCAGTTATATTCGGTTGCATCCCTGTTATTATTGCGGATGATATTGTCTTGCCATTTGCTGATGCAATCCCCTGGGAAGAGATTGGTGTTTTTGTAGACGAGAAGGACGTTCCAAATTTGGATACTATACTCACTTCTATTCCACCCGAGGAAATATTGAGGAAGCAGAGATTGCTTGCCAACCCTTCAATGAAGCAGGCTATGTTATTTCCACAACCTGCACAACCAGGTGATGCTTTCCATCAAATTTTGAATGGACTTGCTCGTAAACTGCCACACGATAGGAGCGTTTACTTGAGTCCCGGGGAGAAGATCTTAAACTGGACTGCTGGTCCAGTTGGTGACCTAAAACCTTGGTAAGAAGCTGGTACTGGAGATACTGCATTCTCTATTGGCTTTCAACCTTAAAAAGTCGCGTCAAAGGTGTGAAATTAATGTGAAGTGTATATCTTAAGTAGTGTAGTTTTTCGATGAAGTGAAGAATCTTTTATTGATAACTACATCCAGAGGATGCAACATGTTACAAAATCTTAAGCTGTAGGCTTTGTTGTAGTTCTGGACGACTGTGGATGATTGCACATTCATTTTTGTTGCTGTAGGGTTTGTGCATATGTTGCTCGGACTCTCTGAAAATGTCACCGGGTACGTGTCGTATTCTCTAAAAGTAGTGTATTTTTCGAGGATCTGACACAGGTGCAGTAGCATTTTGGAGAGTGCTCAACATAGGTACAAACAGCTATGTTGGTAACCCAGTGTACTCATGTGCCACTAACATTGTGTTAGAAAATTAATGAACCAGATTAATTTGATAACTAATAGTGCTAATTAATTTTAACCACAGTCTAAGTATTCTTTCTCTTCCGACATCTCTTTCCCTATCTCCCAATTTGTCAAGAAATTGGAAGACGAGTAACACTAATCCAGTTTGAAATTCTGGCTGAAAGCTCTTTCATCTATAATCTATCCATCAACAATTTGGAATTTATTAAATGGAATTCCCACTGCATTCTCACAATAAGAAATGAAAATTGTCATCCACAGATAGCTGAAGATCAAAAGAAAGTAAAACATAGCGGTAAACAATTATCAACCTCTCAATGAACCTTATTTAATACGGAAAGCTTAGATGATATGTAATATTCAGAAAATCTGAGGATACATTAATTATTCTTTTTTGCCATGTGATCAGGAGGACACGGGTTAGAGCCGTGGAAACAGCCTCTTGCAGAAATGCAGGGTAAGACTTAGACCCTTGTGGTCCGGCCCTTCTTCGGACGCCGCGCATAGCGGGAGCTTAGTGCACCGGGCTGCCCTTTTACATATAACTAAAGAACACCGGTTCTTTGACATGTTCAAATTGAACTACTGATTCCCCCCTATAGGCCCGTCTCGGCCTTTCTTGAAATCATCCCACCCTCTCAGCCAAGGATGTCCTGCAGCTGCACGACTCTCTGGAGCAGCATGTTTGCCAAGGTTGTTCATAACCTTTTCTTGCACAGCAGAGAACACCTAGAACAAGTAAACTTATTAACTTAAGCACAGACAAGAAAGAACAAAAAGGAAAAAGAAAACGCTTGGACAAGCTTGAAATTCTGTTAGGTTCTCACTGAATTTGTGCTAATTGCATCTGGTGGTTGCTCCTGGCCAGTCAGCCACTTCCACAAATCTGGATTCTCCTGCAGCCATGAATCAAACAAACTTGATAAAGCCAGCTCAAACTCATATTCATGTAGGAGAAGTAGCTTCGCTAAATGCTAGTTCTGTTATCTTGCTCTAGAACATGCCCAGTGAATTCCGAGTTTGGGGAGAGTAAGATGTAAGTAGCCTTACCCCTATCCTGGAAGGGCAAAGAGACTGTTTCCAATAGACCCTCGGCTGTTATCCTACTCTATCAAAAGCAAAAATCTTTACTGTGGAGCAGAGTGTTTGAGGATGTCTTTCGCCAGAGGGCCATCATCGATACAGTTACAAGGATTGTTAGAGAAACATATCAAAACTGACACCTGGAAAGAAAGCCACATTCAACTCATAGATCTTTACACTCTTCCTAATGGTTTTTATTTAAGCAATACAGCCATTAGCAACTCAACTTTCCCCCAAGAGTTCTCAAACTCCCCACCCCTCCCTATGTCCCCTCAGCTCCGTTATCTTTATTATTTTCATAAACTTCTCATTTTGCAACTGACCAGTGCCTACAAGCACATTTCATTGTTTGGTAACTGTCTTTTTTCTTTTTCTTTTTTATTTTATTTATGAAAAGGCAAGGTTTATTAGAGAGTCTTACTCCAACTGATTTTAGGAATACAAAAGATTCACCGGTAGGCTATATGGATTACAATATTCTTCTTATGCCAAAAGAAAGAGTAGTGTTTTTGTAACTATGCTAATGGTTAACAATAAACAAAGAGTGGCTTGGTTCCCTCCAATAGATTTGGACTACAACAGTTCAACCATTTCTTTTCAACCTGTTTCTGAATCCACCAACAAAAGCATTTTAAAGTCTTAAGTCTACCTGATACAAACAAAACTCTTACATGCTTCCATCTGGGCACATATTTATATAATGTTTCACTTCTCTTGTTTGAAGGAGAGAAGAAAAAGGGAAGAGGCAGAGGGAATACTTTCTTCCCTAAGTAATCTATATAGGTCATAATAATTTCCAAAAGAAAAAATAATTCCCACTAAAGGGGGTGAATAACTTCCCTTTTATGGCAGAAGTCAATCTCTTATAATCACTTGTTTCAATCAACATGACATGATTTTCAATCTTTAATACTCAAAAATCACGCAAGGAACATCACGCACTTTATGCACAATCAAATACAGTGAAAAGTTTTCCATGAAGAACATTTTTCACCAACCAAACGCACTTAAGAAAAAGGGTAGCGTAATGCACTAAGCAAAACACAATAAAGGAGAACAAATCAATTACCAGGTCAAGAACATTAACAAGGGACTTAATTCCATCTTCATCCATGGATTGAATATGATCCTCCACCCATTTGCCTATAACAAGGTCCAGCTCCAAGAACCCTCTTTGTTTGCTCCGGTAACGAAGCCTATAATCATACCAAATATATACAGCCCATTAAAATCTGATAAACCCGCTGAAGGAGCCAGAACCCACCACACAATTTTACTAACCTGTTGAATAAGCGTCTCTTACTCTCTTCATTTGAGACATCGATATCAATCGGCCCACAATTCTCGTTGGAAGTAAAGAAACGCGAAAATGTGCCAGCTAAAGGCCTAAAAGATAAGATGAAAAGCAAGTATGAACTCGAAAAGGCCTTAAGATATGAACTCTATAATCAGAAAATGGCCTAAAGTATGAACTATATAATCAGCAAAAGGCGTAAAGCATCAGTAGACTGAAAACAAGTACAAATGATAGAAAAAGCCTACAAGATTAAAACAAAAGCAAGTATGATCAATCAGTCTACTAGCTTCAATCTCAAATTAGTAGGGATCAAGCTTTATAATTCTTTTTCTCCATTATAACTCATTATAAGTGTGTGCCGAGGTGAACAGGTGTTAAAAATACTAATAAACTTGTTTCCATTTGTCCACATTTATTTAGATTTGTTTACATTAATTTAATATTTTCATACATATAGTTAGAAAAGAGTGAAGTGTGGACATATGTGAACTAGTGTAGGCATGTATGGACTAGTGTGTACATGTGTGGACTTAATTAATGAAGTTTAGGCTAGATACATGTAGGAGTTTTACTATAAATACCCATGTATGCTAGCCATTTGGTGCAAGTGAAGTTGAAAAGATGACAAACACTAATGGAACACCATTCCAAGTTCCTATGCTCACAAGTTTGGTCCAAGTTTGGTTGTCTCTCACAATACCGGCTCTGATACCAAATGTTAGAAATTTTTGAGAGAGCAAGACAACTAAACAAACACTCAAAACTCACTATTAGAGAGGTGGAGGAAAGGATGATCTCTATTCAACTTCACTTGCACCAAGTGGCTAGCATACATGGGTATTTATAGTAGAACTCCTACATGTATCTAGCCTAAACTTCATGTGTACATATTAATTAAGTCCACACATGTACACACTAGTCCATACATGCCTACACTAGTTCACACATGTCCACACCTCACTCTTTTCTAACTATATGTATGAAAACATTAAATTAATGTAAACAAATCTAAACAAATGTGGAAAAATGGAAACAAGTTTATTACTATTTTTAACATCCCCCTTAAACTTGTTTCATTACTCCAAGCGCCATCCTTAACTTTTGAAAAGCGTCAATCTTCAAAGGCTTGGTGAAAATATCCGCAATTTGATCTCCAGACTTCACATGCTCAAGCTCCACAACTTTATTAGATATGCAATCTCTAATAAAATGATATCTCGTATCGATATGCTTGCTTCTTTCATGAAATACCGGGTTCTTGGCTAAATCTATAGCCGATTTGTTGTCAACAAAAATCTTTGTAGCATTCTTCTGTGGTTGGTGAAGTTCTTCCAACAAGCTCCTTAGCCAAATTGCATGGCAAACACACGAACAAGCTGCTACATACTTCGCTTCACAAGTTGACAAAGTCGCAATTGGTTGCTTCTTAGAATTCCATGTAAATACGGAATTCCTAAGAAAGAAAACAAACCCAGTAGTACTTTTTCGATCATCAATATCACCAGCCCAGTCACTATCACAATATCCTACGAACTTGGATTCTTTAGAAGATGAATAAAAAATTTCATAATCAAGCGTACCTTTGATGTACCGAAGTATTCTTTTGGCTACCTTTAAGTGCGAGGTAGTAGGAGTTTCCATAAAGCGACTCAGGAGTCCAACTCCAAAAAAGAATATCCGGCCTTGTACATGACAAATACCTTAAGCTTCCAACAAGACTCTTGAAAAATGTGGGATTGATTCTATCTCCATCTCCATGCTTGGATATTTTAACTCCACATTCAACGGGGGTGCTTACGGGATTGCAATTCTCCATCTCAAATTTCTTGAGAATTTCCTTTGCATACTCTCCTTGAGAAATAAAAATGGCATCCTTCCTCTGTGCTACTTGAATTCCAAGATAGTAGGACATTAGGCCAATGTCCATCATCTCAAATTCTCTAGCCATTGCTTTCTTGAATTCTTCAAAAATCTTTTGATTATTTCCTGTAAATATCAAGTATCTACATACAAGCAAACAAGTAAGATGTCACCATTTTTAGCAATCTTTACATAGAGGGCATGTTCATGTGGACACATAGAAAAACCATTTGCTTGGAAATATTTGTCAATTCTACTATTCCAAGCTCGCAGGGCTTGCTTCAACCCATATAAAGCCTTCTTTAATTTCAAGACTTTAACTTATTGTCCTTCAACCTTATATCCCGAAGGTTGATCAATATAGACCTCTTCCTCCAATAGGACATTCAAGACAGCCGACTTCAAAGCGAATTGTTTCCAAATGAGCAACCGGCGCAAATACTTCATCATAGTCAATACCGGCCTTTTACTTCTAGCCTTTAGCTACCAATCTTGCTTTGCACCTTTCTATTTCTCCCTTGGAATTCTTCTTTAGCTTGTACACCCATTTGACTCCAATGGTGCTTTTGCCTTTTGGAAGTGTGACCAACTCCCATGTATCATTCTTTTTTATAGCTTTGATTTCTTCATCCATTGCATCCCTCCATTTGGAATTTTGGCAAGCATCTTCAAAGCTTAGAGGCTCACTGTCCACCAGCAAACAAAAATGAGTAAAATCATACAAGTCATTTCTTACCACTTCCGTATTTTCATACAAGTCACAGAGACTTCTACTCTTGTGAGGTGCTTCACTTGAACTTGAGCTTGATTCCCCAACTTCTTGATCTTGTGGTGGAGGTGTTGAAGGTGGTGTGATAGCCTGCTCCCCATCTTCTTCTTCATCATCTTCAAAGAATGGACTAAAAGAGTATTCTTGCTCTTTAGATTTCCACTCCCAAGCATTATCTTCATCAAACTCAACATCTCTACTTATGGTGACCTTGCCATTTTTGGGGTTATACAATTTATAACCTTTAGAACTTTGATCATAGCCAATGAAGACATACCTCTCACTTTTGTCATCAAGCTTATACCTCTTCTCATCTGACACATGTGCATATGCGATGCTCCCAAAAATTCGTAAATGAGCAACTTTTGGCTTGAAACCGCTCCATGCCTCTTGTGGTGTTTTTCCACGAACACTTTTGGTGTGACACCGATTTGATAAGTACACAGCACAAGCAACGGCTTCAGCCCAGAACTCTTTTGGCATATTTTTTCTCTTTAACATACTCCTCGCCATGTTGAGAACAGTTTGATTCTTTCTTTCCACGACGCCATTTTGCTGTGGTGATCTCGGAACTGTCAAGTAATGACGAATTCCATTTTTCTCACATAAAATCTTGAATTCATTTGAAGTGAATTTTCCACCATTATTGGACCTAAGTGACTTAATTTGATAGCCACTTTGCTTCTCCACCATGCTCTTAAACTTTTTGAAGGTTTCAAACACCTCCGATTTTGCCTTCAAAAAATAAACCCGAATTTTTCGAGAAAAATCATCAATAAAAAGTAAAAAATAATTACTTTTACCAAGTGAAGATGGCTTGATAGGTCCGCACACATCCATGTGAATTAACTCGAGAGGGCATCTTGCTCTTGTTAAAGACTCTTTAGGAAAGCTTTTCCTTGCTTGCTTTCCAAAGAGACATCCTTCACAAAGTTGGTTGGGATGATCAATTGTTGGCAATCCATTCACCATGCTTTCCTTCTTCATCAACCTTAGGCTATCAAAATTCAAGTGACCAAATCTCATAAGCCAAAGCCAAGATGAATCTTTGGCACATGAAAGCAAGCACCTCGGAACATCATTTTGAAGATATAAGATGAACATCTTATTATTAGCCATAGGTACTTTGGCTAGCAATCTTCCCTTTTCATCTCTCATATACAACTTTTTGTCTTTCAAATGAATGTTGTAATTTTTTTCCAAAAGTTATCCCAAACTTAAAATATTACTTTTCATCTCCGGCACATACAAAACATTGGAGATTAATTGATGACTTCCATCTTTTAAGCGAATTAAAATCGTACCTTTTCCTCTGATTTGAACTCGCGAAGAGTCTCCAAAAGTGATTGGGCCACTATTCAGCTCCTTAAGCTCCACAAATAAATTTTTCTTTCCACAAATATGACTACTTGCACCGGAGTCAAGGTACCATTTGTTCTTTTCCCCACTTTCTTCTCCTTTGCATGCAAGAAGTAGAGTGGGATCTTCATCTTCATTTTTGCTCTCCACAAAGTTATTTTTCTCCTCCGAATTATCTTTACATTCCCGAAAAAATGTCCAAATTTATGACAAGTATAACATTCAACATTCGATTTGTCATACCTTCCTTGATTTTATCTCCATCCTTTGCCTCTTCCACGACCTCTTCTTTGACTATAGTCTTGGCTTTTATTGTCTCTATTTGGTGGTTGACTACCACCTCTTCCTCCTCTACCACGACCTCTTCCATTTCCACGACCTCTTTGTTGCGAACCACGCCTTTCATCTTTCTCCTTGAAGGAAAGTTTTGCTTGCAACGCCTTTTCAACCGATTCTTCTTTTGGTTTCTTCAATTTTTCTTTATGGGCTTGCAAAGAACTCGAAAGTTCATCTATGGTCATGGTGTCCAAGTCTTTCGACTCTTCAATAGCAAAAACAATATAATCAAATTTTGAATCTAGGGATCGTAGTATTTTTGCAACGACCCTATCATCCTTCAACTCTTCAGCATATCTTTTCATTTGATTGACAATAGCCAAAACTCTTGAAATGTAATCTGAAGCAGATTCATTTTCTTTCATATGCAATGATTCAAACTCTCCTCTTAAGGTCCGGAGACGAACCTTTTTCACTTTGTCCAAACCTTTAAAGGAAGTTTGAAGAATGTCCCATGCTTGCTTGGAGGTTGTCGCATTTGCAACCTTCTCGAACATCTTGTCATCCAAACCTTGATAGATGAGAGTGAGTGCCTTTTGATCTTTCTTATTTGTGGCTGCGACATCTTCTGCTTCATCAACTCCAGACTCTACCGGTAAAGACTAAGAGAGGGGAGTGCGGACTTAGCAACAGAAGTCCTCTGATGGATTCGAGGAATTGTGAAGAGGAGAGCCCTTCTTAGATTCGCCATTTTCTTCCACCGCAAGAAATGAGTTGGAAAGCACAAATTAAAGCTCAGCAGGGTACAAGATTGGGTGTTATATTGCAGGCTGGTTTTTTGCTAATCAATAAAAATGTTTGAGCTAATCAAAATGTATTCAAATAAATAAAAATGTAGTAAATTAGGCTATTTCTGGCTTTTCCCCTTGGATATGCATTCACATATAAGATGTCTAAATTGTAATACGTAGTAATTTATTTGACTGAAAATTCAAATATTATTTACACGATCAAATTCATTGAGTGTCAGTTATATGTAACTTGATTTAATACTCCATGTATTAATTAGTCGCTTGAAATAAATGTTAATTAAGGACCAATTAAACAACAGTGTACTAGTGTAAATTTCTTTATACTTTGTCAATATACATAAATTAAATCTTAAATTTAGTCCCCGTTGGCCATGAGTTTTGCCAAAATAAATTTGGGATTTATTTTCAAAACTCATGTTTGGCCATAAATTATGAGAGTCCATTACTCAAATGGTCATTCAACTATTCCAAATTATCTCCTAAAGTCACTTTTCTTTCGTTTGTAACAACAAAGTCACTGAACTATGCCTATTGCACTCAGAAGGTCACTCAACTAGATTTTTTAAATTTTAGATTGCTAAATACCTATTTTATCCTCTAAATTATAAATATTTATCTTCTTTTTATTTTTTTAAAACTTTTTTACTATTAACAACAAAAATTCAAAAAATTATTTACACAATTCAGAATGAAAGAAAATAAAGGTTGTAAACTATATATTCCATACACGTAATATAAAAATTATTATTTAAATAAAGATATTTTTATAATATACATCATATATTCTTGAAAATTATGCATAATTATATATATATTCTATGCACGACTAACATAACATATTTTATCCTATACAGATAGTCCCCCTGCTTTCCGGTGACATAACTTTGTGTCGTCGGAAAGTTGGTAGAAACATAATAATATAATTGAGCATATGTTTCAAGAATATATAATATATATTATAATAATACCTTTATTTAAATAATTATTTTTATATTACGTGCATGGAATATATATTTTACAACTTTTATTTTCTTTCATTCTGAATTGTTTAAATAAGTTTTTGAATTTTTGTTGTTAATACTAAAAAGTTTTAAAAAAATAAAAAGAAGATAAATGCTTATAATTTAGAGGGTAAAATAGGTATTTGACAATCTAAAATTTGGAAAATCTAGTTGAGTAACCTTCTGAGTGCAATAGGCATAGTTCAGTGACTTTGTTGTTACAAACGAAAGAAAAGTGACTTTAGGAGATAATTTGGGATAGTTGAGTGACCATTTGAGTAATTGACTCTAAATTTTGTCCATATTTTGGCCAAATCTCAAATACCAAATCAGCTGATTTTGGGCCAAAATCCAAAAACTTGGGAATTATATACATGTTTTTCCAAAATAAAGTTGGAAAATATGTTTTGAAAACGTATGTCCAAACACATTTTCATCTTCAAACCAAACTTCACCCAAATCAGATTTTTCAAAATAAATTTGGGATTTATTGCCAAACGCTAGCTTAGTAATTTGGTTTGCTGATCAGTATTATACTTTTCTTCTTTTTTAGAAATTCCATACTCTTTACTTCTAAATTTATGACACACTATCTCTGTTTTAAAAGGCAGAATACTCTTTTACTTCTAAATTTATGACACACTAATACACTATCTGAAAGACATGGAATTTAAATATTAATTTACTAATGAAATTTAAAACATAAATTACTAAGTTTAACATAGAAGAAATCCTGTCAAAGCTTACAGTTTGTGATTACTTCAATTTCTTGTATCTCGTGAAAATTATAAAACAAATGATTATTAGGGTCAACTTGTTTAATTCTTATTTGGCTTTAAACAAGATTCTTTGATCCTAGTAATAATAAAATTTTCAATTATAACTATTCCCCTGTTGACTCTAACTTTATTCCCTCCCCAAAACTATAGCTGCATTCCTAAGAAGTAAACTTCCAATCACATTAGAAGTAGAAATTAAACAAAGTTAGCTTTTACTATTTCAAGATAATCTTTCCATATTTCATTTATAGAAACTGAAAACAGTGGTGTTAGCAGAAGTGAATGTATTTGACTAAAAATGACAAGAGTATTGACGAATGTTGTTATAGAGAGATCCGGCTATAATTGTAATATAATCATGCCCCTCTAACAATATATATCTGTTAATATGTCCGAAGTTAAATTACACGAAAAATTCATTCACACTGCTAGTGAAAAAAAAAGTCCAAACAAGATATAATCTACAAGAAAACAGCATTGCTACAAACTGGACCATTGCTTCAGGCTCTTCCATCCAATCCTGCTCAGTGCTCACATTCTCCACCAATATAACAAGTAATCAATCAATTTTCACAAATAATGCAAACACCAACTGCTCCACATATTAAAAGCTTATCTCACGCCTTTCAGCCCAAAACTTACCACTCACAAACTGATCAGGTAGTAGAGCAAGCCAGACTGCAGTATCAGCAGCGTCTTCTGGAGATATATGCCCCGACCAACCAGTCATCGCGGTCTTCACCCAACCCGGGCAATAGCAATTGATATATATCTTATGACCCTCTGGACGATCTTCGAGTATCCTTGCCATTAGCCTGGTGTAAGCATTTACTGCAAGTTTTGACACTGAGTAGTCAGTGAACACTTGAGGCCATCCCTCTGATTCCCATGTCCCTTCTTTTACTTGTTCCAAAAATTTCTTCACACTATTATCAATCAGTTCCTCTGATAAAGAGTCCACATCCTCCAGTTGCTGTCTCAGGCTAACATTTGTAATTCTCTGGTCGAATCAAGAAAATATAGATGATTTTCAGATATTAAAGAAGAAAATGACATTTGCATATAATTAGCGCAACCAGCAATGGTTTATGAAGAACTAATATCATGCAATTTTATTTATTAACATCCCAATCAACACAAAGTATTTGAACGGGAGGGGCATAATATTTTGTTCAATTAGTGCCCCCTAAAGTCTTTTAGCGTTCAGGGTGCCAAGTGATTTAAATTATTCATTTTCAAAGTATACACACACATATATACAAGATTTCTGCCGAAATTTACGGGGTCCAGTGACCCCTCAACATAACACATAGGTCCACCTCCGCTCGGAGCAACGATAAAGTTATTTCCATGTGACCTATAAGCTTGCATTAGGGTAGGTTGTCTACATCACACCCCTTAGGATACGGGTCTGCCTCGGGCCTTGCGTGAACGCAAGATGCTTTGTATACCGGGCAGCCTTGCCAATCAGGACAAAGTATTGCCCTAACTTGATTTCAATCTGGAAAGGTTGGTGTAGCCTGGTTGCTAAAAGAGTGAACAAGATGAACAAGGACACAAGAATGGTAGGAAAACTGAAGTTCTTACATTCTTTTTGCCGTTAAGTCTTCCCAATCGAGAGCTCACACTAACAATACGACCACCAGAAGGAGAAGGCCTCATCAATGGAATCATCGCTTTAGTCATATTCTTTGTGCCAAAATAGTTGGTTTGGATGACAGTTTCAGCATGTTCCATGGAATTCTCTGTACCAACATTGAAACTCACTCCTGCATTGTTGATCTACATATATATAGTACCATATCATCAGCTGAAAGTGGCCATATTTGGCAAAAATAATAGATGAAACTAGAACAGCATATGAAAGCCGCCCTCCTTGAATCAACGATCAAGAAGAGAAAGACTAGGAGATTTTGCACCAGTCAAAATAGTAGCATACTAATGAAAGCTACTCTAGTTGTTTATACATTTGCTGGTAGCTTAATTATAGAGAGAATATAGGGGTACCATAATACCAGTATATCTAAACCGCCATAAGTTTCTTTTATCCAATCAGAAAATGCTTCAACTGATGCATGATCGACGATATCCAGTTGATGAAATGCTACATTTAAACCTCCTTCTTGCATGACTTTCACTGCCTCTTCACCGACACCAGTCTCTCGCGATGTGAGAACAACTGTTAAGCCATGTGATGCTAGTTGATGAGCAATCTCAAATCCGATCCCTCTATTTGCACCAGTCACCACAGCAACAGTATCGGATGACCACCATCTGAAAATCATCCGCCATCTATTAGTGTTATATGCTAGAAAATCAACATCCTATGGAATTACGTTTTTGACTGATCGAAGCATATTCTATCTAGACAAATTATGTTTCTAAAAAGATGTGATTATCAATATAAAATCATAACTAGCTAGCATGCAGAACTATGAGAAGACTATCAAACAGCTTTTAGCATCAGCTTTGATTCACTATTTTGAATAATCACAAGAAACTTACTATATGTTTCATCAAAATGTTGACAAACTTTAAAGAAGTCCATTTAAAGTGCCAGGAGCAAATACATAATGCATTAATTGAAGGTGTGAGGGATATTGTACTAAATCCTAGTGACTACTTGTTAAATTCCACCATTATCGACTGGTGGTCAAGCTCAAGTAAGAAGGAAGAAGATGAAGTCTGTAAATGGAAGCTTCTGGAACAGTTGTATCTACTGTGTATTGAGAGAGAAAACACTGATTCTCATTACAAGTGAAATGTTCCTTCACTGATATATACACGTGTATATATATACCTCTAACTATCATCTAACTATCTCAGCTTAATTATCATTAAGAAAGGTCCTAATTCTGTTATAACTAACTATTAACAACTAACTAGCAATAAGCTAGAATAACAGCCTGTCATCTAACACTCAGCACTAGTTTCCAGCTGTCATTGCAACACTTCGACGCCCCCCTTCAAGCTAGGTGGTGTGAAGATATTCAACAGCCCTAGCTTGGACAACAAATGATAGTGCTGCATACTTCCAAGCCCCTTTGTCAAGATGTCTGCTTCTTGTTCTTCTGTTGGCACATACTCAGGATGTACCATTCCTTCCTGCACCTTTTCTCTTATGAAATGGCAGTCAACTTCTATGTGTTTTGTTCTCTCATGAAACACAGGGTTGTTAGCTATCTGCATTGCTGCCTTACTGTCTGTACACAGTTGAACTGGGGCATCAAAATTGACTTCCAACTCCTTGAATAAACCTAGTATCATCATTGCGTTCACAGTGCTCATCATATTCAGTAGAAGTAAGTTTCTTGTTCTGCTCCATTGGAGTTAAAGCAGGTTTGGAACCTGATAATCCTAACTCTGCAATCAGCTCCAAGGCATATTTTCTTTGGCAAAGCAAGATTCCCTGTTGTGACCTGCACACCTCTATTCCTAGGAAGTATTTCAGAGTTCCTAGGTCCTTCATCTTAAAGCTATGTTGTAAAGTGTTCTTGGCTTCTTGAATGAGACCAGCATCATCACCTGTAATAAGAAGGTCATCCACATACACAAGAATTATGACTTGTCTGTTGTGTTTCTTCAAGATGAAAAGGGAATGATCATGTTTGCTTTGTTTGAAACCAGCTTGTAGGAGTGCATTAGTGAGCTTGAGATTCCACTGTCTAGATGCTTGTTTGAGACCATATAAGGATTTGAGTAGTCTACAGCCTGTATTTCCCCTTTGGCTACCAAATCCAGGAGGTAGTTGCATGTATACTTCTTCCTCAAGGTCACCTTGGAGGAATGCATTGTGAACATCCATCTGAAACAATGGCCATTGATTCATGGCTGCTAAGGCAATGACAGTCCTGATGGTTATCATTTTAACCACAGGAGAGAATGTTTCTTGATAATCCAACCCCTCTTGTTGACTGTATCCTTTAGCAACCAATCTAGCTTTGTACCTCTCTATTGTTCCATCTGATCTACGCTTGATTTTGTATACCCACTTGCAGCCAATAGGAACCTTGCCTTTAGGAATAGGGACTACTTCCCATGTGTTGTTACTAACCAATGCATCTATTTCAGCTTGCATAGCATCTATCCACTTTTGATCCTTCATTGCTTGATGGTATGATGTAGGTTCAACATATGTTGTCATTGCAGTAAGGTAACTCTGATAAGCACTACCTAGTGTATCATACCCCATGTAGTTGGACATAGGATATAGACAGGTAGAAGAGGAAGGTTGCATAGTTGGACATATGTAATCTTTGGCCCATACTGGTGGTCTGGACCCTCTGCTGGTTCTTCTGAGTTGCATGATGTCTCCTCATGTGCTATCTCAGTGGTCTGAACCTCCTCAGCATCATTGCTAGATAAGTCATCCAGCTGGGGTATTGTAGCATCATGTTCATCATGTAGTTCATCTAGTTCCTGATTAGGAGTCAGCATTTCCTAAGTAGAAGTATGCTGGTGTGGAGCTGTATGTTGTTCTGGTGCATAATGTCTGGATGTTTCAAAAAATAATGGAGGTATTTTTCCTTCTTTCATCATCAAGAATGGGAACACATCCTCTCTAAATGTAACATCTCTGCTGACAAAAAACTTCTCGTCCTTGAGACTGTATAATCTGTATCCCTTTTGAGATGTGGAATATCCCATATGAATTGTTGCTACTGCTCTAGGTAGGAGTTTATCATGCTGCCTGGTAACTGTAGCATAACAAAGACACCCAATGACCCTTAAGTGTAGTAGTGAAGGTGGTGATTTGTGAAAAATCTCATATGGTGATTTGCCATTTAGCACAGAAGATGGCAACCTATTTATCAGATACACAGCTGCTAGGACACAATCTCCCCAGAAATGTAGTGGTATACCACCTTGGAACCTTAGTGCCCTTGCCACCTATAGGATATGCCTATGTCTTCTTTCCACCACTCCATTTTGTTGTGGAGTGTGTGGGCAACTACTTTGATGTAGTATCCCATTATCTGATAAAAAGGCTGTACACTCGGAACTAAAAAATTCAGCTCCATTATCAGTTCTAAGGCATTTAACATTGTGATTAAACTGCACATTCACCATCTTAATAAAAGACTTTAGAAGCACAAGTGTATCACTTTTCAGTTACATTAAGAACACCCAAATCATCTTAGAGTGATCATCTACAAGTGTCAAGAAGTATCTATTTCCATTAGTAGTAGGCACTTTGTAAGGTCCCCAGATGTGTACATGTACTAACTGAAAAATTACTCCTGCTCTAGTTGTACTGGGGGGAAAAGGCTTCCTAGTTTGTCTTGCAAATGGACATATAGTGCATGTATTGAAGTTGCAATCAGTAGGCATCTTGTTCTTCATGAAAGGCAGCTGCCTCATCATTCTGGCTGGTACATGTCCTAACCTTCTGTGCCACACATTGTTGTCTGATGTAGCATCTTCTGCCAAACAACCTCTAATCTGTTGTTTGATTTTATTTGCACTTGATCCATCTAGTAACAGCAAGTAAAGGCCACCCTTTTCTTTACCAATCCTCCTCACTTTCCCAGTGCATAGGTTCTAGAACACACAGAATGACGGAAAGAAAAGTACTGAGCAAAACAACTCCTTAGTCAATTTTGAGACTGATAGTAAGTTGTATTTGAAGTCAGGCACACATAGAACATTCTGAATTGATTCACCACCTATGATTTTACACTTTCCCTGGTACATAACTGGTACTGTTTTACCATTTGGCAGATGAACGTTACCTTCTTTGGTGTTAGGCAATTTAGTTATGTCAGTCAGCAAGTTAATGTTCGAAGTCATGTGATTTGTTGCTCCTGTATCCATGATCCAAGGAGTATCACATGTTTGAGCCAGCTGAGAGTCAGTACTACCTGCCATATTAGCTGCAAATTCTTCTCCCTTGTCCTGGTTCAATAGCTTCATTATCTGGTTGTACTGCTCATCAGTGAAATAGTCGTGCATTCCTTGTCTTGCCACATTAGAATCTGCAGTTGTGGTGGCTTGAGACATATCATCCTTGGCATGAAATGCATCACCTGTGACTGCATTAACTTGTCGATACTCCTGTTTCTTCTTTCCCTTGAAACCAGGTGGATAGCCCACCAATTTGTAACAAGTATCTTTAGTGTGACCCTTGGTTCTGCAATACTCACAATACAGATTGCCATACCTTTTGAACTTCTGTGAATTATCTCTTGAACTCATTAAGACAGTAGAATCATTCACCTCATTCATAGGTGTATTGGTCATATGGACATTCCTTTGATTCTCTTCATTAATCAATATAGCATAAGCACAACTCACACTTGGTGATGGTGACATGAGTAAAATCTGACTTCTAATGGCACTAAAGCTATCGTTTAATCCCATCAAAAATTGAAAAAATTTCTGTTGTTCTAGATGTGTTATGAATTCCCTTGTTTCAGGAATCACAGGAAGAGTTGGAATAAGTGCACTATATTCATCCCACAACAGCTTAAGTCTAGAATGATAAGCAGAGATACTGGAAGTACCTTGAGAGACTGTAGCAATTTCTCGTTGAAGATTATAGATCCTTGATCCATTGATCTTGTCAAAACGATCCTGCAAATCAGTCCAAACCTCATGAGCGTTGCTGGCATATACTATCCCGTTCACTAACTCCAGCGAGACAGTGTTCATAATCCAAGTCAAAACTGTAGCATTAACACGTTCCCAATCCTCGCCTAGATCAGCAGTGAATTGGTCCTTGGTGCATGTACCATTTATGAACCCTAGCTTTCTCTTAGCTCTCAGTGCGATCTTCATTGCTCTACTCCAGACTGAATAATTCTCACTCCCAGTCAAACGAACAGAAATTATCACATTTCCCGGCGCATCTGAAGGTTGTAGATACAACGGATGTCGCGGATTGTCAATATCTACCTCAGCCATTATCGATCTGCTCAGGAATTAGGAATTTTGAAGAAGACAAAGAACAATTGAAAAATTCTCTCAACAACTTCACAGAACAACTCTTAAAGCTAGATTTTTACAGCTTCGATCGATTCTCCAAGCTCTGATACCATGTTAAATTCCACCATTATCGACTGGTGGTCAAGCTCAAGTAAGAAGGAAGAAGATGAAGTCTGTAAATGGAAGCTTCTGGAACAGTTGTATCTACTGTGTATTGAGAGAGAAAAAACTGATTCTCATTACAAGTGAAGTGTTCCTTCATTGATATATACACGTGTATATATATACCTCTAACTATCATCTAACTATCTCAGCTTAATTATCATTAACAAAGGTCCTAATTCTGTTATAACTAACTATTAACAACTAACTTGCAATAAGCTAGAATAACAACTTGTCATCTAACACTCAGCACTAGTTTCCAGCTGTCATTGCAGCACTTCAACAATACTATTGATCATCTTAAACTTTTCTCAGCATATTTTCTTGTCATGTTTGGCTTTGCAACTTGCGGCTTAAAAGTTTTCCATCTCAGCTAGAAGGGAATGTACGTAGTATTTGGCAGTGAGTGCGGCCAAATACTACATTTTTATCAGCTGGACAATTTTTAAGAAAATATATATTTATATCACGTTACCACAAATAGTACTCTGTCAAAAGATTTAAAATCCTGAAATCACCATAGCACATGAGTCGGCATGTCTCTTTTGAGAAAATTTCATGCTTTCAACTTTACAAGAAACATTTCTCCTTCGCTTTTTGGATCATCTTTCGGTAAATGCGGTACACTTTTTTGGTTCTCATTGGGTTTTCCTTGTTCACAGGTCGATTCCATGCCTGCAAGAAAAGGAAATCGTGTGCTATACACCAGTGATCTCTTTCCTACCGAGACAGACTTCATTTTAAAACCAAAAGAAAAATCTCTACAGGATCAATAAAGCTAGTGTTATCGCTCAAAAATTAATTCACACAGGAAACCTCTAATTAATTTTCCATTCCTCTTAATCAAATGCTAAAACTAGTAACCCATGGACAGCAATTTTTGAGCCATTGTCCTATGAGACAGACAGCATAATGTCCAAGAAAGCATATATATTGATCAAATGAATTAAAATGTTAGCGTCAGATATCCAGTATAATAGTCAAAGTGCACACAAGCAGACATATGTTAGCCTTTTCAATTATGATAGATCTTACCATAATCATGGTCCCAACCCATTGTATTTAATTTAATCTATAAAAAAGCTTGCTTGAGCGTGGGCGTGCATACATATAGAGAGAGAATAAGGGAAACAATGATACTCCACGTGATTTAAAATTCTGGATATGAAAAGGCAAAGAAGGAAAGGAAAAATTTAAAAGAAATGAAAACTCACTTTCGGTGATCGGAATAAGGAATAGTACGTAAAAGAGAGATCTCTTGCCGTCTTTTTTCTCTTTTCTCCTTTGCCTTCTCCTTTTTATGATCCATTATTTTTCTTCTGTTATTTTAGTTTTGAATCTCAACTTATTCTGTACTCCTGTATTAATTCATTTTAGATTTTGGCTTTTGGTTGAGAATTGAGAGCATGAAATGCTATGTGACAGAAACTGCGTATTATCTTCCGGTATATTTGGAGCCTATGCTAGGTTTGAACCGCTTTAACAATTTGTTTTTCTCTTCCCTAACAGGTAGTTTCGTTCACATATTAGTTATGCTAGAATTATAATGCAAAAAATTAATAATGGATGGATTGTTATGTAATGATTAATAATGAGGAAATTGTTATTTGTCTTTAGATAGTTTATTTTGTATTGTTATATACGTATTTTTATTTCACGTTCAATCCCGTATAAAATAATACATAGATTCTCGCATAACTTAATGCATATATTTCTATAATACTTTCAATCAAACGCTACATTAGTTATGGGGCGATTATTTTTTCTTACACGGCCAACCAAACATTATTTATCTTATGCGCGATTTGTTGGGATTAATTATTTCAAACCATCAACCAAACAACCCCAAAGTGTTAGAAAAATTAATAATATTCCCCTTAATCTCTTATTATAAAAAATAATAAATAAATAAATAAAGAGAGAAAGGTCTAAATTTATCCATTACTATTTGAAATTTTTTTCACTTTGCATGCATACCATTGGCGTAAGCAAATCCTCTTGTACTTTGACCCCCCCCCCCCCAACCCCCCCACCCACCAACGTGAAATAGATAGACACCTCATGTTAAAATTCTTCGAGAATCACCCCTCAATTTTTTTATAATGATTTACAATTATCCTTTGGTATGAGCTCCTATTAGGTATCAAGAGCAAAAATAAAACTTTTTCCTACGGATGGGGTAATATTAGACCAGAAATCTAACAAAAACATGAATTACTCAATTTCGGATGGTACAGACTACAGAGACATATTTGATCCTTTTCCTAAAAAAAATTGCAACTAATAATAATAAATCTCCTTTCAGCTTGTTACTATAACTACTAAAACACCATTAACTAAATCACTAAAATTGTCAAATCATGGTAACTAGGGGTGTAAAAAACTGACAAACATATGATCTATTAAAATATTCTTATGGGAGAATTTTTTAGTAACACATGATAGTTATTTATTTAGTTTTCTGACAATAATTTTTTATTGACACACACTTTCAAAGTTAACCGAATTTAATAATTAAACATAAAAGTCAATAATATACATTGTTCTAATTTATTTTAAATTATCGAAATACCACTTCAAATTCGAAAAAGATATAAGAATTTAACAGATCTTGACATATGAAAATATAAAAGAACAAAGAGATTGACGCATTTCACTAAAACTTGATAAGAAGTTGATCATACAGCATATTATTTAAAGTTAATAAAAATAAAGCACAGATTTTTTTACTCAAGCCAAATCAAATCAAACTAAACATAATTGGATGTTTTAATCGGTTTGATTTGACGTGGTTTTCTGGTACGGTTTGTATACCCCTAATCTAATAATGAGTGATCTCGGTAGGTTCCTTGAGTCTCATTGTGGAAAGATAATTCTGTTAAGATAGAAACAAAGAAGGTTAAATGATAATATATCGTACTTGTTGTGGCTCGTCTATTTTTCATGTCTTTGTCAAAAAGAAGAAGAAAAAAACAAGGAAAATAAATTGAAAAATGGGCAAGCATTGGCACCTAGTGGTGAGGTAATTGAGAATGACTTGGGAGTTGGGACCTGATAGTAACATAGTTCACAGGTGTGAAATGCAATTACATGCCAATGTAATTGTCTTTAGTCATGCCGTGCCGTCTTTAACCATTTGCCAAAATTAAAACTTTTAAAATATTTTCTTCCTCTTATTTTATACTACTATTATTCTTTTTTATTTGGAAACGGCTTAAAACGCTCAACATAATTGTATTAACGGCTTAGCTTCATGTATTAACATGGTAAGAAATTTTACATTATCAGCTAATTATAAGTATTATTTGTTACAAATATACTAGAATTCCAGCATAATATACTAGTTCAGCATAATATTCTGGAAGCTCATACACAGGTGCACCAATTTCCAGTATATTATGTTGGAACTTTCTGTATTGAAGTAAAATAGTGGCTATTTTTTAATCACCTTACAAACGTTGATTATTTTTCAATTACCAGTCCGAAAATTGGCTAGTACGTGTTATTCACAAAAAAAAATTCTCATGTTGTCTGCTTTGATATAACAGCATTCTATTAATAATACCCATGCGACTCACGCAAGTCAAATTTATTTTAACTAGTAAAATGTTAAAGTTGAAGTAATGTGATCTTTACACATGTTAACTTTTTGACTTTTTAATATATTATTATTTAAAAATGTATGAATAGAATATTTTAATCAATTTCCATTCTAATCTCTTATCACTCAAGTATACTATAACATGCACTTAAATAATGAGAAAAAAACTTATTCGAATTCAGTGCTCATATAAATTTAGAAATAACATAATTTTAAAAAAATTATTTAATTTATCAAATTTATACTATCTCTGTTTCAATTTAGATGACACATTTAGTTTATTAAGAGTTAAGCTGACTAAAACTTTAAAGCTAACTTGAATTAGTTCAATTCAGTATTTTAAAAATAAAAAACCATAAAAAATATTATAGATTATAATTTTTCTCATGTCAATATGATAAAAAATACTTTTCAAAATATATTTTACTAAATAAGCGAAATATGTTATCAAGATGGAAAGAAAAAGAATAGCTTATTTAGATTACAACTCTCAAATCTTCTTTTTCTTTTTTTGGCTTGAAATCTATGTTTAATCAAATACCTTACAATAAATGGCTTCTAGATGTGGGGCTTACGTGTTTCCTTTGCCGTTGAGACTTGGGAGTCTGTCACTGTCATGAGAGTATGAAGTCGTCCATAATATTTGACCATTTCCCTAAAATCCAACCTTACCCCGATCCTCTTTTATCTTTCTTTTTGTGGAGAAAACATAGATCTTTCAGGCGCAGTCGTAAGCTGTGTCTTCAGCAGAAATGACACGTGGCTTCCTCCCAATCTGATACGTATCAACGTACGCTTCATACAATTGTCATGGTCTGTATTTTAGAACTCCTGCTTCTCTTATAAAATCTCCCTGTTATTGGAATTCCAAATTTTGAGTTCCTAAACCCTACTCTGTGCATGTCTCTCGATTAGTCGAGTGACAAGGGTGTGAATACTTGGCCCAAAAGCCATATCGGGTAAGCCTGTCTGCTTCTTCTTCTTAATTTCGGTGTTATTGTTTTAATTTAGGTGAAAGTAACCTTGGCTCGGTAAAGTTCCTCCTATATACCAGGAGGTCATGTGTTACAAGAATGTATTGTAAGGCTTTGTACAATAGACCTTGAGGTCCGGCCCTTCCAGACGTGGCCCACGCATAGCGAAAGCCTAGTGTATCGGCTTCCTTTCTTTTGGTTCTAATTTAGATGCTTGGATTCTTTTATGAGCTCTGCATCCAATCATTAGTTATATAGATAAGGAAACATGCATTGATAAGGAAATATGTATAGGTAAGTAAATATGGATAACATACTGAAAAAGTTACCTCCATCTGTTCCTTTCCTTTTATTTTCCTTCTATTTTGTCTATCAGGAAATATCATCTGTAGTCGTTATACTTAATCTAAGGTTCTGTGTAAAGATTAAAGAGTTTAATCAGTCATTGCATCTAAGTTAGGTTATTTTTCAAAGAATTTAAGTTTTATGCACAATTCTTTTGCACTATCGTTTAGTATGGTGGATAAGCAAAAATAATCCTGGCATAAAAATTTAGTACTGCGTTATACCTTGTTTGGTTAATAATTCTGGGATAAGTTATCCCAGGATTAAAAATACTACCGGGATAACTTATACTTGCCGGTGACAAGGTGTGAATACTTGGCCCATAAAAATCCTAGGATAAACTAGTAATTTCAGAATAAGTTATCCTAGGATAAACCAGTAAAATTGATAATCCTATAACTAATTCAAGCATAACTTGTCTTCAAACCAAACAACGAGTTGGTAACCTGAGAATAATGTGGATGATCTGCAACAGTCGGTTAAACTTCACTGATTTGTTAAACTTAAATCTTTTTTTAAATTGCTAACTTATGTTATTTTACAAGGTCTCAAGTTCGAAACCCACTGGGTGCAAACAATTTCTGAGGGCCATCGGACTGGGTAAAACCTGAATTAACCGTGGTGCACTTGCGGGAAACTCCTTGCCGAGGTCCTGTGCACCCCCGGGAATAGTCGGGTCTCTTAGAGACTCGGACATCCGGTGCAAATAAAAAAAAAAGAAATGTTATTTTACAAAGTTGCAAGTATTTGTCTTTTATGGCCCCATACAGGGGAAAAGACTGTTTTACAGTATCATGATCTTTTATCTAATTCCTTTTATCAGGAACAATGGATAATGTGTGCATTCCTACTATATAGAAACTACCATAGGTTATTAGACTCTTTTTTCTACTCACAAAACTTTTGGGACTTAAATTTATGGGTGGTTGATTGGTTGACGGTATTGTCAACAGATATATATACTAGTGTCAAGTGAAGTGGGAAAGAGAAAAAGATGTCAAGATGTTTAAATTACCAATTGCTTTCACTTGCACTCTTACTGCTAATGACGGTTGATCCAAGTTCACAATCTCGATTAACGGAAGAAAATGGGGTGAAATCAGCTGTCTTTCTATCACCAAAGATTGTGCTGGAACCTGGATCGGTCTCTAACAAGTTTTACTACAACATTGACTTCCCAAAAGGCCATATTGCTATCAAAAATTTTGATGCTGAAGTAGTTGATGAGGCGGGGAATTCTGTTCCCCTTCATGAAACATATCTTCATCACTGGGTTGTTGTTAGATATTATCGACAAAAAGGTGTGGAAGTGGCAAAGTACCATGGCGATCTGGGGTTCCACCAATCAGATTTTATTGTTAAGAGAAACTCGGGGATATGTGATAGGGGTCTTACTCAATATTTTGGCCTTGGGTCAGAGACCCGAAAGACGATCACGTATGTTCCAGATCCTTATGGTATAGAGGTCGGCAATCCAGCCGAAGTACCTCCAGGATACGAGGAGAGATGGTTGCTCAATGTACATGCAATTGATA